TTGAAAAAAACTTTTGGATTAGGAACATCACATGTACATAATTTTCTTTAATTTCAGATTTAAATTCTGAAGAGGTTTTCAGGCCAACTAAAAGACCATTCAAGGTATGAATATCTAGCTTACATTTAAAGGTTATTTAGGTTATTCAGATTAAATGCTTAAATGGTTATTTAGATTAAATGCTTTCATTTCTGTTTGTTTCATAGATTGTTAAAAAATAATTTACATTTCAATGAAGTATGTTGTTTTTGAGTGAGAACTGTTTAACTCCCCCTCCCCTCCCCCACTTCATAATGTAATTAAGGGGTCTTTATAGATTTTGAATACTGTAGAAATGTAAATGATAGTAATATGAAATTTGGATATTTTAAGATAATCATATCAAATCACCTTTTCAGCAGAACCCCGCCCTTGATACAAGACAGTTTTAATAGTCGTTCAACTATTTTTTTTTTCTCGGCGAAAACTACAACATTTATCTTCATTTGCCTGCCTAAAACAGACACCTGTTAAATGAACAACAGACACTTTTCCTTGACCCCTGTAACATTTTCTCAGACAAAGTTACCCTCACCTAATTACCAAACCTTCTATAGTAAGTTTTTTCTTTCTTAATAAGAGGCCATTATTGTCAACTATAATTGAAATAAATGTAGTTAAAGTTTCCTGAGTGACAATTTGTATTTGCTGAATGTAACTATTTATTAATCACCTGTGATCACAATCACTCACACACTCACACTCTTTGTTCCTATGAGTGGAGTATTTAAAGGCTACACCTGTGATCACAAATAAATACTAAGTTTGTTATAAATTATCTATAATTTATTTTCTATAACTGCAAAATTATAGCCATCCTGTAGGATGACTGAAATGGTCACAACTAGGGTAAGGGCAATCTGATTATATGTTAAATTACTGTTAGAAACTGAAACCTTTCCGTATCTAAATGCAATTTTATTGAAATATTTTATGGACTATTGTAAATAACAATGTTGTGTCATAATTTATATGAGCCAAATATATGTAATTAATAATATATAATTTTCACTTTAGGTTTTTATTTTAAGAAACGTGCTTTTAAATGTATCATGTATCTTTTCATCACACTGTATGTTAATTCCTAAAAAGAGCAATTGCACAGCTGTTTTTTACCATGTAATTTTGCATTTGTGTGTATTTTGTGTTAGCAGTAATTAAATTTAAATAAAAATAATCTTTTCATTCAGTTAAAACTCACCTAGTAACGTAATAATAATAGTAATCAAGGCTGTGCTCTAAGGAAAATTGAATGGAACCCAGTGTTCTGAAACTGTGTAATCCAGGATGCCCAGCATATGCTTTTTATGAAAAAACTAAAATTTCTGAGTTGCTCAAGAGCAAAAGCAAGGCACCAGGAGCCACCCGGTGCTGCTAGAGCCCAGCCATGGTAATAATGATAATTCATTCAAAGTTTTTTTAATAAACTTTTCTTTAATGTTTTCTGAGAAACCATTTTTTCTAGAACTTTCACAAGCCTTCATTATTGAATATGGCTACAGTGTCTGTTATTAGGCCAAAAATATTGCAATTGAATCCCTCAAATGTAATTTTCTCTGCCAAATATTATTAAAGCAGATCAATTATTAATTGTTTTAAACTTAACTTTAACTACCTTTAGCTGTACTTAATTATAACATTACTATCAACATTTACTGATCACATTTGCACTCTCGCCTAAGAGCAGCAAGATAGCAGGATTCAATGCCACACGAACAGAAAATTAGTTTTATAGTACACCTGTACTTAATTTAAAGCAGCAAAAAAAAAGTGAGGTTGGAGAAACTGCTGAAAGCAAATCAGCAAATCGAAAGACAGCTTAACTTATACCGTTATCGCTGAAATGAGTTCCCTTGGGTAGGTTCATTCATGATTTCATACGATTCGAGGCGATTGCCTATGTTTGGTATCAAGACCGGTACTTGCTTATTAAAGGAACTTCATTCTTAACCTTATGTAGGACAAATGTAGATTTGATGGCGCTTTCTTGTTTTCTTTGCAATCTGGATGCCAGCGTGGAGGGGAGTGCCGGGACTGTTTCTTTCCCCCTTATCAAAATGGTGCCATTTCTCTCTTCTTTGGACCTTTTTTTTTTTCTTTTCTTTGCTCGGGGTCTCCTTTTTAACTTTGATTTATGTTTTTTGAGAAAAGACTTTCCACTAGTAGAGGACTTCCACGTGTGGCTTTTGATAAATGCGCGATGTTAACAAAATATGGAAATAACATGAGGTTGCCGCCAATATTCCCGCCGGGGGTTCGCCTCTTTACCAGATTATGACGCCTTCCTTATTTATTAACTTTTGGATACAAAAGTTAATAAATTGATATTTATTTGAAAATACGTTTTCCTAAATAAGTCGGACGCGTTTTGAAATTTTGAAATTTTTCTTTTTGTAAACGTTAGGTAAAATGTCTAACTTCAATCTAGTGCAATAAAAGAAAAAATATTTTTTCGGCTTTTGAAGGTGGATAGTAACCTTAAAGAAACTTGCAGCCGAATATAGCCTTGATATTCGAAAAGCCAAAGGCATTTTGTTTCTGCCCTAAGTTGATGGCCTTAAGAGAATAATCTTATTTTTATTTAAGAGTCCAAAATAACTGCGAATACTGGTGAAATGTTGGGAAAACGACTCTGAACCTTGGCGTGCTTTCGATCTGGAAATTTGGATTTAGATTTGGAATTCCAGATTTGGATTTTTCACTAAAACACGAAAAGCACCAAGGATTTCAATGCTGAAAATCCGTCCTTAAGGTGGATTTGCTATTAAAATCCAGAGCTAAGGAATAAAAGCTAATATCTTTGCCGTTTTACAGCTCACGGTGAATCTCACTGAGACCTCTTCTACAGCAGCTGTAGTTTTGCAAATCCCTCTTTAGATTTCCCAAAAGTCGTGAAACATAAACATTCATGCGATCCGGAGTTGGATTTCATAATTGAAATCCACCTTGAGGACGGTTTTCTCAACGTCGTATTCCGTTTTTGGATTTCATGTTTTACCGTAGAATCCGAAATCTGGATTTGAAAATCAATATGCAGATTTTGCAATCAAAATTGTTGATTAAACGAGACTTACCTGTAAGTTGAAGTCTGATTGGGATTCTACCATGTCATTAGTCCGGAACGAAGGAGTCACATGAGAGTTCAAAGACCTGTAGAGCGAACTCATAAACAATAGTCCAATTTATTGGGTCCACAACGCTTTACATGAATAAAACGTGTCATATTGTACAACAATCTCTAGTTACTGGTTGTAGAGTTCAGCAAAACTGTTCCAAAGTTGAGATCATCTGTGTCAAGGGGCTTAACATAATATCGTGCAAAAGTACGAGCGTTTGACCATCCTGCAGTTTTTATGATCTCTGTTAAGGTAGTCCTTTAGCTTTACAATGCGAAGTTGAAGCCGCTCTGCTACTGTGCGGGGAGTATTCTTTAACATCTATACCCGACTGTTTCAGCACATTTCTGACCCATCTTGCGATGGTATCCTTGGTAACTGGTTTAAATGGTTTAGCATAACTGATTAATAGCTGAGTGACTTCATTTCTAAACGGCTTTGTCCTGGTTAGGTATTTCTTCAAATAATCCACGACGCAGATTCTGTTGTCATCCGGGTATACTATTACCTTAATGGGAGCCAAATGTTTACCTGGCTTAGTTTGTTTAAGCTTTTCGTTGATGATAATTCGGAAGCCATCGTCTAGTTCCTGAATAGAACGTGTATCCATGTAAAGTAGGGTTTCTTCTCTTTGTCCAGTTGTTAGACATAATAGCATGCTTAAATTCAACGTTAGGTCCTTCAGGGTTTAGGAACCCTTAATAGGACTAAATCTTTTAAGGTAGTCTAATACATTATTAACATCCCAAATCTCCGTGTACCTAGGTAATGCCGGTTTTAACTGAAAAATGCCTTTCATACAACGGATAACGATAGGATGCTCACCAAATGGTATACCTTCGGATAAGAATGTAGCTGACAGTGCAGATCTAGCTGTATTAACTGCCCTGTAGCCCAGCCCCGACCTGTATACTGAAACTAAGAACTCGATTCCCATGGCAACTCCTGGGCAATAAATGTCGATGTTTCTGTGTTCATAGAAGCCCTGCCAACGCTTTAAGTATGTTTGGTATTGTTTTGTTGTACCCTCTCGCCACGAAGCCATTAACACCTCCGTTGCCGAGGGTGACAATAAGTGGCAGATCATGAGATTTAGTTTGTGCCAGATCGGGTGAATTTCTGACGGACTGCTTGGCAGTAGGGCTGTCCCTAAGTTGCTCCAATTTTCTCAAAAAGTTGCTCCAATTTTCCAAAAAAGTTGCTCAAAAGTTGCTCCAAAATTCTAAAAGTTGCTCAAAAGTTGCCCCAAAATCCAAAAGTTTCTCAAAAGTTGCTTTCTATTTTTGGGTGTAAGAGATTGATTTACAACTCAAATAACGATTTAATTAATAAATTTCGCTTAACGCAACCACGTGATTGTATTCGAACAAAACAAACTTTGCTAATATGCTTATTAAGGATATAAAGTTTCTCTGACATAAACGAGTGTTTGTGGTATAAAGCCATGTTCTTTCAATATTTACAATATTTACACTGTCCCTGAAGGTTTTGCACCACCAGCTACCCCTCTACCGACACATAATTCATGATTTCATGTGCGCTTATTGTCATTGTAACGTAACATGACCGATGTTTCCACTGTTTCCTCTAATGCTGCCTCTTGCTGCTTACTAAATGCATTTTGTAGCAGGCTAAACACTCGTTCAGCCGATGCTGAACTAGGCTGCACCAACAAGATCTTTTTGACTGCAGCAGACCAATTTGGGAGAGCAGCGGCATGTGTAGCCCACCAATGTACTTTGTCTTCTTCTGTTTCAATGGCTGCACCATCAGCAGTGGCCAGATAGTTTGGCAGCTCTTCCACAAGCTGTACAACCTCTGCATCAGTAATGAAACTAAATTGCTTTAGGTCCTGGACTGATACAGCAGTTGGACGTAGTGCTTGCACCTGTACTGGGCAACATAACCGTGCAGCCTTAAATGCACGAACAACATTGTGGAACTGCACACTGAATTTCTGTTGGTAAAAGCGGAAGCCTGGATTGATGCATGCCTTTCCTTGGGCAACTAACTGGTTGTACAATGCCATATTTCTACCTGCATGTTGGCGAGCTTTGGCCTCAGTGTTTGGATAAGAGTCAATGGCTATTGCATGTGCTAATGCAGACAAACGTTCATAGCAAGCAAATACTAAGGGACCATCCCCCTCAAGATAATAAGTTGCTTGAACAAAGTGCTTGCCCGCATCAATCATAGCAGCAAGCTCAATGTCTAAGTCTCTAGCAGTAACTGGATCATCAAAAATCTCCAACAGGCTTGCACGGCAAACAGGAGACAGGTTATCATTTTCTCTTAGGAAGGGCTCAACGTCCCCAAAAAACTCCATTACCTGATTGAGGACTTCCCATTTGCTCCACCATCTGGTTTTGGAATGAAGTCGCATCGCTGTGCCAGTTCTTGTCTTCCACAACAGCCGGGCAGCTGGACTTAGAGAAAACATGGTGTTCCAACACCTAGAAAATGTGTCTAGGACACTAAATTCAAAGTGTTTCCCAACATTGTCGATTGTGTGTGAGAAACAGATGACATTAAAAATATTGGGAAAGAAAAACATGACTTGACGCAATCCAGCCTCATTTACTGAGGCACCATCTCTCATTGCTGCTAGAAGCTGGTTCGGCTGTATTTTATACTCCACAGCCAAGCACTGAATCAGTCTTTGAGCAAGCTCTTCCCCATTCATGCTCTTGGCTAGAACTTCAAGTTTGAGAAGCCTCTGCTGTATATTCCAATCTTTGTCAATGAAGCGAACCACAATTGCCAACGCTTCACCAAGCCTGGTGCTCCCATCAAAGATCACAGAAAAAGCACTGTTGGCAGCTATTTCGGATTTCACAAAGTCTATCTCCTTCTGATGAATGGTGGGAATGAATTCTGTGAGATGGCTCCGAGTTGTCAGGCGATGACCATATTTTTCAAGAAATGGTCGCAAACTGTCGACTTTTGAAAGAGGGATACCTGCCTTCAGCAACGCTTCCACGAGCTCGTATCGATAGAGCCTCATGTCTTCGGGTAATGTGTATCCTCTTGCTCCTCCGCTTGTTTTTGCAAGAAGATCCTTGATATTTTGATCTTTCTTCTTGCTTTTCTTAATATTCTCCAGCGCTTTGATGTGCTTTACAGATGCTACATGTTTCTTGATAGAACTCTTTTTTTTGGAAAGAGTTTCTCTGCAGGCGTCACATCTTAGATTTCCCG